GTAGGAGCCCAAACGCATTGGCGCTGAGCTGTTTTTGTAGCTCTTGGAAAATACAGACAAATTAGACAAGCAATGATAACTCGCAGCGGCATATCAGCATGTCGATTCTTGGACGTTGCAAAATATAATTCATAGCCTGCATGGACAAACCTTAATAAGGCTATGCAAACCTCCAGCCCCAAAGCCCCCAAAGCCCGGAACTCCCAGATCTTTGACCTCAAAACCCACAACTCCCCTAATTAACCCACGTGAACCACATCTCTACACACCAAAAAAAACATAGAAACCCAAAGGGTCCAAAGTACCCATAAAGTAGGATGTAGGGATTCTATGTCAGGAATCCTTATTATGATTTGGGGGGACCCTTTGGGACAGTCCATGAATCCTTAAATGAAACCTGGACCCCCAAAATCTGAACCAGCTCCTACACAAACCTCAAACACCTAACCCCAAAACCAATATTCTGAAGCTCTTGGACCCTGAACCCTTATAAAGCCCCATCAAGCCCCCCGTAATGCCAAATTCTGAAAACGCCGCAAAGTTTATAGAATTTTATAACTTGCCATGACAGTTCCACACCTGCAACAAATTCGACATCGACCCGGGCGCCGCTGCTGGCCTCTGCCAGGGCCAATAAAAACAGCACATTTAAAGTGGCTTGGGGTTTTCGTACTGCTGATTACCATGTTGGCCTTTGCATTACTATAGGGGCCTCAATAATTACCTATGCCTATACTGTTTTGGGGGTTCCTTATTGTAATTATATTAAAGGGGCCCAAAACTCTATCCTAATTATTAAGGCCCCTGAATAATGCTGTGCTGTTCTGAATCTTTGCAGCTTGGGGCCTCTATGAGGTAACTCTGTGTGATACAGTTGGCGCCGCAAAGTTGGAAGATGCGCATAGGGGTTTAGGGTTTAGGGTCCCATATAATTGAGAAACCCGTCTTCCAGCTGTTGATTCTTGCGGCTTTGATCTGTCTGGTTTGGCCTAGTTTCGATTTTTTTGCCAGTCATAGTTTCCTCAGAACACAAACTTGGACGATTCGGGCTTGAGGATTATGACATGTTTGGGGTTTGGGGTTTAGTAGGGTTTAGGGGAAAATGAGATTTTGGTTTAAGAAAGCATGGTCCAGCCGCAACCTGAAGTTGCAAGATGCACACAAACTGAACTTAATATAGGGGCCTTAATAAGTAGAATGGGGTTTTGAGGCCCATTATACTATAATTATACTACGGACCCTCCCCCCCCCTCCCCCCCCAAAAAAATAAACAAACAGCCCTATCCTACACATACGTGTTTGTTTCGTTGGATATTGTTTTCTTTGGTTTTTAGCGCTTTTATTTGTTTTGGCTCTGGTTGGGTACCTGCTGCTCCGCGCTTGTGTTTTTTGTCTGTTGATTTGGTGAGACGGAAAGCTGCCGTCGTGGTTTGCAATGCAGCGCCAGCAAAATATAAGAAAACAATCACACCAAGTGATCATTCTTATTGAATTGATTTGCTTCCTCTTCGCCCTAGATATGTAAAGTTAAGACGGTAAGAGGGACGTATGGGTCAAAGGGGGGTTACGATCTGCAACATCTAACATGCGACAATGCGAGGCATGAGACGCGAGAACACGTAAGCTCCGGAAAACTGGCTTCTCCAGGGAATTTCCTTGAAGCATTAAGTGGATTTGAGCATCCAGGTTTTCTGGAATCAACTCTTTGATGACGTGCCAAGAAGCAATCGGACCATGACGCCCTCAAACTGCGCCTTTTCTCCTGGTTTCGAGGGAACAATGAATAAGTGAATGGCGCCGACGGTGCACCGAGTGCAAGGCTGTCAGATTTGTGGGATGCTTTGCTGAAAGAGAGCAGGCTGCCGCAAGCGTCGATCCATTCCTGAAGGCGACAAGAAAACGCAAAGGATGGCTGCATACAGAAGCTGTCTGTATCTTTGTTCAAAGCACATGTGCATGCGTATGCATATATATATATATATATATATATGCATGCACATGATGCATGTTACAATGTCTTTCCGTCTTGAGCTTACGAAAACAGGCAGTATCTTTGCGCCAGACTTACATGTCCACATCATGCTTACATGCCGAAACATGCGTGCCCCCCGTCCAGATCCCGCAGCATCGCTGTATCCACACATCTGAGCGTCCATCCAGGCATCCTATAGGATATACACGCGAGAAAGGCATACCCGCACATATAAACATGTTGGCGGTGCACAGCAGAACCTCGCTTGCACATCGCTAGGTTCCTGTGTCTCACGCCCTGTCTGAAGTTATTGCCAAACTGCAACAGAACCGCACAACGCTGGAGCGAGCCAAAACCCCAGGACACCGAAGTCCAACCACAAGAGACGCCGCTCTCCGAATGGGGGAATGATTTGTTTTTTGGGTGTCCTACTACCGAATTCCGTCAGCTGAGGTGCTCCCGAATCCTCCTCAATCCCGCCATGTCCTGGTGGTCCCTTCCTGAGTTTCCTGATTGTCTCCTGTGGATTCTTGCCAATTAGTCGTAGTGGCCGTGGTCGTCACGGTCGTCGTGGTGTTCCGCCATTTTTTGTTGATCGACGCGGGTAAATCCTTGAGGTTTCACGTCTCAGGTGCCTAGGACATGAATGGTTCTTGTACATTGTACATCTTGATGGTGGGTCTTGCCAGGGCAGCAGTCCGTTTTTGCTGCCCATATTTTGGAAGGGAGCTGTATGACTATGTTCAACGCCAGTTCCCTGGTCTCTGCATCTCTCCTTGGGACTTTGCCCTCCCAACTCGAAGAAGGATATGGCTTCCACTTCCACGTCCCAGATGGAACCCATTGTCCAATTTCTCGTCTGCCCTCCGCCGTGAAGCCTGTAGGCATCTTCCGAGAGCATGGGAAGTCTGACAAAACCGAACACCTTTCACAACCCCGACCAGGTTCACGGTGGTTTTTCGATACTGACAGTGTCTCTATGTCCGGTATGCATGTGTGTAGGTGTGTATATATATATATATACATACATATGTATACACGTACATACATACCTACCTACCTACCTACCTACCTACCTACCTACCTACCTACCTACCTACCTACCTACCTACCTACGTACCTACGTACCTACGTACCTACGTACCTACGTACGTACGTACGTACGTACGTACGTACGTACGTACGTACGTACGTACGTCCATACATACATACATACACACCTACGCACATAAACTCATACACATACGTACATATACATTTTTCATACATACACACATACATACATACATACATACATGCATGCATGCATGCATGCATGCATACATACATACACACACACATACATATATACACATACGTGCATGCATGCATACATTCATGCATATACATATGTGTGCATATACATGTGTGTGTATCAATAAACCCTAAACCCTAAACCCTAAACCCTAAACCCTAAAATAAACAGGTACATGTACATAATGTGTGTATATACATATATATATATATATATGTGTGTGTGTGTGTGTATGTATATGTACGAACGTATAGGCACTGAACGATTGTACCTTCTGACTGATTGTCCTGGCACGGTCCGAGAGACGTACCAGCTGAAATGGGTGGGTATACTAGGGGGCGTGGGTGGGAGGGGCAGGTGGGGGGGCCTGAGTTAAAATGAATTGGGGTGGGGGTGTGCCGGGGTGTGATGTGCATGGGGCGTGTGGGGCTGGGTGCGCGTGTCATGGGTGTGGGTGTGGGGGTGCGGATGCGGGTGTGGTTTGGCGATGCCTGGCGTGTGGGCATGGGCGTGCGCGTGCTTGCGTCTGTCAGACAGCATGCATGCCTGCGTGCGTTCATCGAGAGTGCAGCCATGCCCAAGTCAATGCCAACTCGCTGCCAAGTGGTCCCAACATGCCAACGAGCTGAAGCGGTCAAGCTGCTGGGAGATGCTAGGAGTACGCCTTTTGACAGAATGCGTGCCCATACACACTTTGAAAAAAACGGCAGCTGCACCGCATGCGATGCCAACAGCGATCTGGTTTCTGATGCCAACAAGGCCAAGTGCCTATTCATGGTGTCCCCATTCCTCATGCACCAGCTGGGCAGGTGGCCTGGCCAGGCCAGGCCGCGACCATCGCACACACGCACACATCGCAACGCACCGCACCGACCCACGCAGGCATGCAGCCAGGCGGGCATTGATTGGCATATATTGGCATCTGCGGGCATTCTGTTTAAATTCAAGTAATGCAACAAACAATCTGGATGAATAGCTGCAGCTCCGCCTGTGAAATTTTCAGACCCCGTGTGCTGGTTCCGCTGGGGACCGCGACTTTGTTCCGGGAACTCAGAGGGGCGACGAAGCACAGGGTTCTTCACCTTTCGACTCACACACTCGCAAAGCAGGCATGGCAAAAGGGTTTTTCACCTTTCGTTTCGTTAAATTTGGTTGGTTGCAGATGTGTGGCGACGGCTTCTTCGATCCGCCGGATCGGCTGGGGGCCCAAGCTCTCGGGCTGATTTCTGTGTCGGTGGATGCAGAGTACTCACCGCGCCTTTGAGTTTTCCGCAACTTCTAATGGGGTGCACACAAAGGCTGCGACCTCAGGGCACTGTTCCCCAAAAGCGCGAACTAAAAAAGCGTTTGTCGCAGGATGGCTGGGTGGCTGGCTGGGCGGGCGGGCGGTTGGGGGTTGGCTGGCTGGCTGACCGTGTGGGGCTTCGAGCTTGGGGCGTGGGGTGTGGGTTATATCCAGATGCACAGCTGCCATCTATGTCGTCTTGTGCGGCCACATGCGCCGAATCTCCTGGGCACTCTGCACATGGCTCGTCCTGCACCGAGTGGTGGGTAGGAGGGTAGAGCGGTGCTGATTGAAAGTATCGGAGCGTGCATTCAGTCACTACGAGCATCCAAGCTTACGACTCTTACCACGGCGACCCGGCCTTTGCAGAGCCGCGAGCGTCACACCTGATCTACGCAGCCAGCAGCACAGTCCAGGATTGAAAGTCTGACAATTCCAGGTGCCTTTTCCTAGACCACTCGCGTTGCTCCTGAGAGGTGTTGAGCTTGAAATTTCAGGAGGGCTGCAATCACGACAATTCACTGCGTCGCTTCGTGCCGCACTGCCTTGTTGAGGATTTGCGGCTGTTCTGGACCCCGTCCTCGGCTCGAGACAGACAATGCTTACACCAATCCAATCAGCGCATGACACACAAATTCGATGTGGGCAGAAGCTAGTGCTGTGACGGAACTTGCTCCGAGGAGGCCGAAGTGAAGAGGCTTGCACGACCTACTCAGTCCACACGTTTCCATAGCAGCTCGCAAGCACCACTCGCTGTTGTGAGATCTGGGCCGACTGGAACAATATAGCCAAGACATGTCCGACTGCTGCAGGCCTTCGTCGACAGACCGATGCCTCCAAAGGAAAGGCCATCTGAACGATTGAAAGTGCGACTTTCTGGGCCTTTGTGTATCACGCTTGTGGTGAGGATGCGATGCAGGAATGTGTTCAGTGTCACCTCGGCATGCTTCAAGGCAACAAGAGATTATGTGCATCAGTGTCCACGAAGATCACAAATAGCTGCTTCAGTAAGTCACCCCTGCATGATCCAAGCCGCGACTTGTGCAGGTGGAGGCATGAGTGTCACCGTTGCTGGAGGACCGCCGTGACGAGATTGGTTCCTTTCAGGAGCCGCGATTGGAATGAAGTGACCTGCAGATACTGAATGAGCCTCCCGAGAGATGCGAGCAGGGAGTGAACGGCTGCGTACTCGAAACTTACCTGAACTCAAGGAAATGCAGCGTCTTGGTGAGGGAAGGGCCTGTCGTATTAGAGGAGCATCTTGTGCCTGCTGTTTCTGCCACATGACAAGCCCAGAAGCTAGCTCCCTCCTTTCTTCAATCTATGTAAGACTTAACAGACAGTCCAACCATCCTTTCAAGCAGCCTGTAAATTGATCTTCTTCCTCTCCTTCTGACAATTGGTCGAAGTTGATCTTGTATTCAACGTCGTTGTTGGCCGCCGCAAACGTCAAATTCCTTGTGAGCACTTGCCCAAAAATTTCAACAATATCTCAGCATGTCAGATTCCAGACTGCCGAACTACCCGCTCAACGGAACAGTGCACTGCGCCACTGCATGGTGCACTGTCTGAGGCAGTTCATCATCAAGCCAAGGCTCAAGAACTCAGATGTGATGCGCTCTCGCTGGAAATGCGAGGCAACAGTGTGCCGCGCCTGCTCAGGCTACCAGAAGAACAGCCACAGCAAGTTCGCACAGCTGCTTGGGGTCCATGATCGGCGATTGCTCGGGTGCGGAATGGGACAGATGACTTCGGGTTTGCCAACATACTAGAATAATATACTGCCTAGAACGTCCCACATGCAACCATCCATCCGGGCCCGTGTATAAATCAGCAGTCGATTTAAGGTCCATCCGTCTTTCGTGCGGAAGCATCGGAACAAACACAGCAGCGACCCAACTACGACAAACTCCTTGCGGATTGATCGCTTGCTGTGTGCCATACACGGGTTTAGTTTTGCTCTGGCCGGACTTTGGCTTTTGAGTTCCTGATAAGTCCCCTAAACGGAGTTGTTATTCCTGCTAAGACTTGATACTCTTCGATCCTGCCAGGATACCTCTTTGACTTTCTGGTTGGTCTTGTCAGGCTCTGGCTTCTTCAGTTTACTGTTCAACACGCGGCCATTAAAGCGATGGAGGATTGTCTGGAATCTCCTCGCCTCTCTGCACTGACGCGCCCTGCTTGTACCCGTGTGCTTGAGGACGATTCATCGCTTCTCTGAACTTCTCTGTCGTGTTGCTGTGTCAATTCCGAGCGGAGGCGGCCCTTGGTGGAGGTGATCGCGGAAGAAGAGTTGCTGATTTGACGATCGCAGCAATTTACTGCAATCTGTGGCTTCTACATGCTTGTACCTACCGATCATGCCTCCGTGCTCCCTCTGCATCAACTAATTAACAACGGGCCCAGCCTGAAGCTTCGACATCGAACCTCCTCCTATGTTCTTCGCTCTTATCTGGGCTTGAGCCTATCTTCAGGCAGCTGAAAAACATCCAGGACTGCAATCGAATGCAAATATGCGGGCAATGAGGGAAACCTAGCCGATGTTATCATCAGTCTGATTCTGCCACGACAAGACAAGAGCGGACCCGGATTTGAGTGCTTTGCTGAAAGCGTGGTGATGAGGGCCTGAAAGACTTGATCGTCAAGCTGAGCACCAGTCTCCAGCAAACACAGCTACAAGAATTCTTGCGCACGTGCGTATGCCAAATATAATGCTTTTTTGCTCAACCACTTTCGTGACATAAGACGAACGACGATGCTTGAGCACAGGATAGCGCAGGACAGCTGATACCGAACGGTCGCAGACGTCAGTGTTGGTTTGTCTTCTTGGCCCGGGACCATGAGCTCTTCCTTGAAAGGCCCCGACTGGCGCTGTGCCTCAAGAAGTTGGTCATGCCCCCTTAGTGAGTCTTTTCATTCCAGCTTGGGTTGCAGCATTCATGGCATTGAGGAACATCTGCGTTTCCTGACAGGTTCTCCCATTCAGCCGCACCACAGGATGGAGCTCGCCTGGCCTCCAGCGCTTCTTGTACCTCTGTGACTTTGCCACCGACCAGGACGCAGGGGACCTCACGCCTGTAGTGGGAGCCGAAGATCACGATCAGCCTTTCAAACTTCATGGAGACATCTTGGACCCCCGACGTCTTCCACGTAGAGAACTCGAAAGACATGGTATTCCATTGAGCCTCGCCATTCAGCTTTGAAGCATTGTACTTCGCGCACGCATTTGGCACCCACGCAGCTCAGGCATAGAAATACTAGTCAACCATCGAGCGCATGCAAGTCATCTTGGGGACGGCAAACTTTCTAGCATGTGGCTTCCCGAGGCTGTGGCTGTGATATCTGCGAGCTTTTCCTCGATGATCTGCTGCTTGTCTGCCGACTCCGTTATGTCTGTGATGTCATCCTCTGGGACATGGACATCCGCATGCAACATGGGCTGAGCACACTTCGTCAGAAGATCTGTGCATGCAACCCATCCTTGAAATCGTTGAGCTTCGCATCAATGAGAGACTGAAGCTTGAAGTCTTCCCGTTCAACCTGAGGGGTGAGCTGTGGGCTACCTGCTTCACCACAGCCAGAGTCATTGGAGGAAGCGCCTGCAAGTCTTTGCCAGTGATGTCGTTCACCTGCCAATGGCTGACAAAATCTAAATTCGGCTGCGAAAATAAGAGCCAAGTGGAGCTGAGAAAATCCAGGAGAATGCCACTGGAGTTCTTTCAGGTACCCGGTGACGTTTAGTCTTGCCGCAGATTCTTGCAACAACTGCAGGCAACTGCTCTCGCCGCTCGGGCCGTCGAACGAAGGCTGTGCTCTACAATTGCCGGCACCAGTTAGATCAATCCAGGAGGTGCATGCGACAAAATTGCAGAACAGAAAGCCAAACCGAGCAATCAATCCACAATGGTTGTCGTACCTGCTGCCAGTGGCGCTGCTGGATGCTCTTCTTCGACAGCTCCATCAGCAACGGGAGTACCTTGTGCACGTCGCAGCTCAGCCCTGAAGGAGCCAGGGGCTGGTTGGCAGTTCTTGCCTGTTGAAAGTCTTCGATCTCGTGCTTCAGCTCGTGGTACGCAGGCCTGAGGGTCAACGCCGCCACACAGCAGCGCAGTGCCACAGATTGCTCGGCAACTTGGCCGTAAGGGTCTCACCACTCTCGAAGTTGTGCAGGCATCTTTTTGCACCGGAACCTTTCAAGACGCCGTCTGCTTTGCTCTGTGCGTATCCAGTTCGGCCTCTTTCAACCTCATCATACCTAAAGAAGCCTTAGCTGACTATGAGAAGTGGTCAGATATCTGTCGGATATTGGCGGTGCTTCCGACTGAGCAAGCCGCGCGAACTGGTCGGCCTGTGGCCGGCATATCTCTATGCCACATCGCATGACGGCAAATTCTTGCGGCAGCCTCTTTCTTCATGTTCTCCATCTCACCCGGCACCTATGCAAGTTATGCAGTTCTGCAGCTATGCCGCGCTTGGAATTAATCAGGAGACCCTCTGATACTTGCGCAACATGGGAAAACGCAATCCTGCAGGCAGTCCATCCGTTTCCTGATTCCAAATAGCAGAAGCAGCCTTTTCGCACAGGATTGTGGCCATGCAAACCTGGAAGATGCTAGAAGAGTCCGGCTGCAAAAACTCGGAGGTTGACACTGGAGTGCTTCACTTTACAAAGGGCTTCCAGGTGCATCCTCTTCACATATCCGCAGTCCCGCGAGCTCTTCGTGGCTTTCGGGATGCTCTGGCATCGACACCCAAGTGATGCGGACAGGGCCTAGTAACAGTCACCGAAGGTTCGCAAATTGTCACTATCTCCCACTACAGATATGAAAGCATGCGATGCTTCATGTGCCCTGACGACCACGCACGATTATGGAAATCCTGCGGAAAACTTTTTACAATATTGTGCTGCAGCTTCTGCAGCGGTCTCGCGCAGTGCGACGAGTTTGTTTGCCAATTCCTGAAGCTGTGTTCCATGACTTGTCTTTGCCAGCCAGTCGGCTGGAATCACGGATTCTGTGCCGATTGAGCCATGGCAGGCACCGGCCAGGGTTGCTCTGCTCACGGTACAACCTCCAGTAGCAATGCTTGCTTCCACGGCATGAGTGTAGCTTTCGTCTTTTGCACAATGCAAGGGCAGAATCAGTGCTTGAGGCAGAGATCAGGAAATCCCAACAAACGGAAATGTGGCAGCCTCGGGCTTCAGCTTCAAGCCGACCTCTGCATGCGACAGATCAGCAAACTCACCGATCGCTCGGCCAAGTGCCACGGCCACCTCATCATCAAGAGCCGTTCTGAAAGTTCGATCCGGATTTGTAAGGTCCCCCTGAGCCGCAGAAACTGCTTCCTGCACTGTTGCAGTGCCAAGCACCAGCTTCTCGAGAACACGTGCGAAGCCGCAAGCGAAGGCTGCAGCTTTGTCGGTGTTCTGGACGACACGGACTGCGGCATCAACACTGGCCAGTAAACTGGGCTGCCCTGCCAGTAGCGCGACAAGCGGGGCAACCTTGCAACAGCCATCTACCTCAGGGAGACTGGAGGTGCCATGTGAGCGGGGGGGCAACAACCTAGATGCCTCGAGGCAACGGCATTGTGAGGGTTAATTATCGTTTTGGGGATTACGCATCGCCTCCCCAAGCGAACAGAAGTATGGCTCTTAACTCTTAACTGTCCAGCCCTGGCCCCAGTCATGTCTCAAAAAGCGAGCTCATGTACAGTACTTTGGGATCCCGGTCCGCCCATGCTTGCTGTTAGATGTTAGCTGAGCGTTGAGTTCAGCTGCCGCTCAACTCATACGAGATGTAAAGCAACGACAGACACGATAGTAAACGAAACGGACTGTTCGTTCAGCATAGACCGAAGCGATGTGAACCTTGCATGTGGGGTGTGGCAGCTGAAAAGTTCGGAAGAAGGACCTGCTCATCGACGGAGCCGCACTTCGGGAACTTCTTCTTCTCACTGACATACTTTTTGAGGAAGCCCTTGACGGAGCCATGTCGCCATGGCCCCGGTAGGGGCATGCTCCACTTTCTTTCCGCTTCAATCACGTTCCCATGGGCATCTGTTGGGTTTTGCTTGAGCTCTGGCCAGTTGTCTGGATCCACAGCCTCCACCTCATAGGCGCTGGCTTTGCCAAATTTGACTTCGAGGCGAGAGGAGTAGTCCTCTGCGTTGAATTTCCCATCGCAAGCAACCAGGGACTCAAGGAGGGCCATCGTTTGTTCTCCGTAGCAGCTGAACCCGCCGGGTGGAGGTGTGTAGAAGATATTGCCTGGAGGATCGCAGAAGGCCGGACCGCACTTTGCCGCTTTAAGGTGTTCTGCGAGTTTGCTGGGGTCATAGCACCAATGGCACGGAACGGCTGCTGCATCAGCCACCAAGCATCCAACCACGGCGCCCCTGGCCCTGGCAGCCAGGCCAGCCCGCTCCATAGCCACACGCTACAGCCGAGCGACCGAGGTGTCGAACACAAAACGGCTGAGCCACAGGATTACACAGGAACTATGCCATGCCGCTTCGATAAGCCTTGAAGATGATTGAGTTGCAGAAGCTTCCCAACTGCAGATGCTGCTTCCGCTGCGTGAGAGGTTAGTGCCGCTAGTTGGGAACAGGTGCGACAGCACTTCGCATGAGAACAGTCCCGCCACTCTGAACTCGCATGTTGTAGGAGGTCGCTGATAGCAAGGACTAAATAAAGAGCCCTGCGACCAGAAACACTCAAACAGTACCAGACAGTACCAGGAGCAGTTCAAGGCCAAGTGGTCCAACAAGTCGACACTGACAAACCCCAGCCTCAACCCACAGATAGTCCTTCCAGCGGCCAATGGTCTCCAGAACCTTTAGCTTCAACAGCTCCCATTCGTGCACCATGGTCTTCAACCCACACGAAGGTTCAGGATGCAGCTGCCGTGTACAAGTCGTACAGCTGGCTCAGGTAATCGAGCTCCTGACAAGCCACATCAAATGAGCGACAATTCTTCCATGAGACCATCTGTATGCAACACCCAGGACCCAAGAGGGTTCACAGCTGCGCTCCCCCCTGGATCTCATCACATCGGGTACCAACGCCGCAAATGGGCGAGCGTAAGACACACGCCATCCAAAAACAATATCAGAAAAGAATGCAAAGTTAAACGACGGGAACCGAGAGCACGACCGTCTATGGCCGAATGATTCCCGATGTCTGGAGCTGACTCGTGCGTGGTCTTACAGCGCTTAGTCCTTCTCTGTCTGGTCAAGCTGCGGATACGTTTGATGAGGAAGGCCGAAGAGATCTTCACCTCAGTTCGTCAGCGACAAGGCAGCAGTCCAACCTTGTGCCAACCGGGGAAGTTACCGAGGGCAAAAATCTGGCGTTTGCGACCATGCACCTGCATGGAATCAGCAAGCCCTTGATGCCGCGAGTTGCAGATGAACACCCCTATGCCTCATACTCTTCTTTGCAGCGCCTTGAGACTTGAGCCCAGGCATTTGATACAAGTCTACGAGCACGTGCTCACCTCTTCTCTGAGCTTCCGACTTGAGCCGCTCCACTGCCTGGCTACATGACGTTTGTTTGCCTGGGGCTTGAGGGCAAATCGCAGTTCTCTGAGGCCTGGCCAGGCCGAATCCCCTTGACCATGGGGCCGCGCCTTGACTCAGACCGTGCTTTCTAGAATGCTGGGAGGAAGCTGAACTTAGCACTGAGCTCTTCATAGTCCCTGCGAAATTTTTCAACATCTCGTCTGAAGGCATGAACGGTCCTGGGCGCACATTGCCGAGACAGAATGTGTCAAAGCTACTCACCGTCTCATCGCATAAGAGTGCCCTGCTTGATGAGGTTGCGTTTGAACCTCGGCAAGAAGCAATGCTTCCATGCCGCGAAGGCAGTTCCATCACGAATGACCAGAGGCAGTCTCCGTGACTTTCATCACGCAATGCCGCGCAATGTGATACAGTGGTCTACACAACATCCTCCGCTCTTTTTTTGCTACGTGCCTGCATTGGGAGGGGTCGGTCCTCCATGCAGCAAGCCGTATAAATCATCGTTGCCTGTATTGTACGGCAGCGCCTTGGTTTCGGGGTGGCTTCGGGTAATCATAAGAAGTACCGCACGCCTGTGGATGTCAAGACTTGGCTGTACTATGCTGTACTCAACCATACCGAATGCAGTTCAGCTTCAGTCATCGCCTCCAGCTCACTGAGCTTCTGAGACAAGACCTCGATTCCGGTACGTCAAGAACAGCAGCTTCGTCTTGTAAGCCTGTCCAAAACCCACTGACCGGCTAACGTGCGACGGAGTTTCAGCGACCTCTGCTTGGAGGCCAGCGGCTTCAATCCTCAGATGCAAGGTAGGCCAAAGGCCTCAATGAGTAGCGACAACGCAGCCAAGTGCAGCAAAGCTTCTCTGACTCCTCTTGCCGCTGGCGCAGCCCCTCACTCTCCGGGCTTCGGCTCAGCTGGTCGGTAAGATGCTGGAAATTCTGCCTGCGCAGGAGCGACGACGCTGCAAACCGCCAGCACAGAGAATGCGACTCCATGCCCTAGAAATGCTCCACTCATCCCAATCACCCGTCATAGGCTGCCAAAGGCACAAGCTGGCATCCAGCAAGAGCCGCTTCTCCTCCAGCACGCTCTGCAACAGCTCCTGCATAAATGCCCAAGATTATATGTACAACAAAGCACCACAACATCTGAGGCGATGAAGCGATAGCGCCACTCCTGGGTCATCACTTCTCTGCCTTCATCGAGTCCGGAAACAGCCTGAACATGGCACATCGCCACATCGAATTGCAAAACAAGCAAGTAGGATTTGTTGGACTCGAATGTTTGGATATTTGGACGCACCACATGGAGGTCGAGATTGGGACGAGGCTGGCATGTGGAGTTTGAAGGTTCGAAGCGGATTGTCATCTAAAAGTCTGAAGCCACAGCGACCGCCGTGCGACGGGCTAGGACCGGCCAGCAGGGGAGGACGTGGGTGGGTCAACCTGGCACCTCCGAGGCTCGAACTTGAAATTTTGAGTTGGAAGGAGCCCGAGATTGAAGGCTTAAAAGCTTGAAGGTTTGCGAGAGAAATGGTGAAATATTGAAGCAACTTGAAAGTTTGAGAATTTGAGAGGAGCTTCAGAGATCGAAAGATTGAGCTTGAGAGTTCGAATTCGTCAAAGTTTCAGGCTGTGGATTGAAAATTTGAATTTGAATTTGAGATCATGCAAACTTGCGAGGTGTACTGTTGTTTTGGTCTCGGGATTTTTGCCACTGGCAGAGGCGGGTTAAGGGGCTGAGGGGTGCCTGAATTACAAGAAGAAGTATATAGGGGGTATCCAGGAAGGAGGCTGGGTTTCCGAGGCTTGTGCCTTACTAGTACTCGTAGCGATACTATGGCAGCCTTAACAACGTTTCAAAGGGTTTTGGGGATAGCATACTGTAACTGCACAGGGATTAAAAGGAATGTTGGTACAAGTACTACGCATTCGTGTTTCCCCAGGTCTGAGTGCATGTCACGTGGCGGGCAGGGTCCGAGTCAGCAAAAAGAGTCAAAAACATCAGGGGCAGAATCAGCAAGCAGGCCGGATGCAAGTCATCAACAGCACAGTCGCAGTCAGCAGACCCCATAGCCACTATCGGAGGTGCCTCACTCAGCCCGAAACGGCAAACACCAAGAAAGTGCCATGCGACGGCAGCACCTCTAACGCAACGGCATGCTCTTGGAAAAGTAGTGTCAACTTTCAGCGTCGAACATGTCCAATCCAGCTCTGGAGATGTACAGCCAGTATTGCAGCCTAGCGTACAACTACTGTGGGTGCAAGAGGGGGTGCTGCATGGTCGCTTCTGTTTCCTGTTTTCCCATATCCAGCTTGTGGCTTACTGATTGGAGCTTCCTGGTTTTTGGCTTCCGCGGCTTGCTTTTGACTCGAGGCCACCCCTTTTGCTAGAGGCAGCTGCTGGCTTTCTGACTCGATTTGCAGACAATCGCCTGACTTGCTGACACGAGCTACTCTGCCCTTGCGGCTACTGCTTCCCACAGTATCGGCTCAGTGCAGGCCGAGTGTTCGTAAAATGCATATATCCCCCTAGGTACCGCACCAGATGACCCTCGAACTTGCGAACTCGACGCTCTTGAAACCTTCAAACGTTCAAGCTTCCAAACCTTCAATTCTCGAACTCTCGAACTTTCACACCGTGCAATTTTTCAAACTCACAGTTTTTCAAGCCCTCGATTTAGCAACCTCGTACATGTTGAAACTATGGAATTGTCAAACTCTCGACCTCAGCGGCGAGCCCGCAAACCGAATTTGGTGAGAAAATGAGAGAACCTTTCTGGCTCGAAACCTACACACTTTCAATCCTTCCCCTCCTGCCAACCCGTCGAACATCCGAACTGTCAAGGCGAGTTCGACTGCGCCGATCGAACTCGGCCGCGGTTAAAGTTTCGAGATTCAATTCGAAGCAACCACTTTCGATGTTGAAAGGTTCGAAGTTTCCTGCCCGCTGAGTTGCAAATACCAGCCTGCCCAAACCTTCGAATTGAAAGTTCGAACCTTCAAAGCTTCCCACTGCCACACTCTCGGACCTTCGAGCTCGAACACCCTGGCTCGGGACTGGGGAGGCCACTCAAAAAGGAGACGGGCATGCTAAGCCGCCACAGCTCGTGAAATCTTCACATCTGATAGAGTAGCTCCTTCCGGCCTTGTATGGCACCACGGCACGCTGAGAGAGCGGATCCTGCGCAGTGGTCGGTGCTTGTCGAAGCACGTCAGTGCGCGCCATGCCTAGCTCAGCTCGAAGAAACAATCGTAGTCCTGAAAGCCCGGATCTGAGCCGAAGGCATCTTCGTGGTACCAATGTCGCGACTCCAGGTCTGAAGGCAATGGCCAGCTGGAAAATGCCTGTGCCGAGAGGATCGCAAGACAACTGACGACAAAACATCGCCTGAGTCGTCGTGAAATTTAGTCGTCAAGCTGCGTCCAGACGTTCTGGTAGTGCAAGGTCGTGGCCCGCTCCAACAGCAGAAGCCTGCTCCTCGGATCGTGATGCTGGGGATTTGCATACACCTACTGTCCGGCCGAAGCGATGCCATCCTTTTTTCACGAGATCAAACCATTCGCTGCAGTACGAGCTGAAGCTGAGAACATCTCGTTTTTCAGTCCCAACCAACCGTCACCACTCAGCGACATTCGGCGACCCTCGCTGAACTGTCAAGCCTGCCACTTCTCTGCTGCCTAAACCCGCCGCCCGAGTGACCCATCTAAAGTAGGCTCGGAAAGACTATCCAGCACGATCACCGAGCATGGGAACCCACATCAGCCGAGACACAGAAGTCAACGAGCTTTGTCCGGCTCCATCAGCATGACCACCGAAGTACCCCAGAGGCAAGTCCATCGCAGACATACCATCCTGGTCATGCGAAGCGACTCGCCGTGCACACACAAGACCCCTACATTAACGAGATGGCTTCCCTTGAACACCATGTTTAACAGATATTAACAGATCGGATCATTGGCTTACCCGAAGCATGGAAAGGATGGTTCCCATCAGTCCTTGAAGAGCGGAACAGTGACCTTTCTTTTCCCAGGCCTTTTGTGGATGTTGCGGCAAGAGCAATAATCAAAACTGGTCTTAGCGGCGCCATCTGCGCTGCTGTGTGATCATGCCAAGTTACTCATTGATGGTCATTGTCAGAAGGCTGCTCCCGGCATTGGACCACATGCCCGGGCCAAACGAGCCTCAGCATAGCGGACACGGAGGCTTGGCCGGATGCGTCGAAGCACCCGAATGCAGGAAGCGAGAGCAGTACGAGCAGCCGTGCCCGTCCGACAGCGCCAATGGCATGTTTGGCGCAGGCGTCGGGCGCGATACAGCACATGGGTTCCTGATGCCACAACATCCGATCGAAGATGCACTATGACTATGAACGCCTGTTGTCGACCATCACAGGCCACCAGCATCTTTCGCAAAGTATTGGTTGCTGAGTGATACCGACCAAGTGGCGGAAGAGTGAGTGACACGGCATCAGCAGTTGCGGGTCCAACTTCGCCGGCAGCATTGATGGCAGCAACTCTGCACAGGTATCCTCGCCGCGATACAATTTTGCCAGCGCGGACCCGAACAAAGAAACAGCACCCAGCATTCCAAACCCTGTAGTCTCAAGAACCACTCAGAAGCGCACCTCAGCCTACCAAAACCACTACCATGTCCAAAGCAATAAACCGCAATAGTGAGCCAGCGCTGCACCGTCACTATGCCTTTCGTACTAGAGCAGCCCAGCCAAAAATGACAGAACATCATGCTGAACGCCATTAAGCGTCGGCCAATTCGCTGGTCAAATTCCTCTGTGTGAATCTCTGCACGCTGCACGCTGTCCGTGATATGCTTCACATGTCCTATTTCCAGCCACTCATGTGGATCTGCATCGGTAACGGAGAAAGGCCTAACCCAAAGACGGTAGGCAACTAAGTTGGCACCGCCATCGTACATGGGGGGATCCCACTCCACTGCCAGAACGGGTCCGCTGCAGCCAGCCAAGCGCGGCTGGCCGCAGCCAGCAGGCGCACACGGGCCCGTTTGCACTTCAAGCTCTTCCGGCTCACCGAGGCCAACCTCGTTCACTGCACAGACGCGGAAGATGTAGAGGCTGTCCGGCTTCAAACCCGAAGCCAAAAACGAGTTTTCCCTACCTTCACGGGCTTCGACATCTCCGGCATGCAGCCAAGTCGAGCCGCCTCCTGACGGCCGCTTTCCTCGCCCGAGGAGTCGAGAGTCCACGCGGTAGCCCTTCAGTGGGACGGCTTTGTCTTCGTTGGCCGGAGGCAGCCAGGCCAGCCTCACATCATTCGCGATGACATCCACGTGTAAATCCTGAACCGGGGAAGGAACTCTTGCGAAGGAAAACTCGCAGGTGACGTAGGCTACGTCAATGCCGGCGGCATCAATCATCGGCCAGGTGCAGGCTCGTCGATGATACTTGCTGTCGCTAATAGGCACAAATGCGCGTGCGAAAAGTTCTGGCTGAGATGGCCTCCCGAAGAGGCTGCTCGTGCACAATGACCAGGCATCTATTCGGAAGTAGACTGGACCTCCAGCAGCCGGTCCAGGCCCAGCTTCGCTGAGTCGAACAGTGACACGCGCTTTGAACCTGCATTCCGTGCTGGAAGCACGGCCCGAGCCCGAAAGGCCCGAAGCATCTCGCTCCATGGCCTCAACGGCCGAGGCAATGCGTTGCTTCAGCTGTGCCTCCTCTGGTGGCACCGCCAAGGGCGGACCGGCTTGCCTCGGCACACACAGATCAAAAAAACACAGCACGAAACCGGACAAGGTTCTCTTTCCATGATTAAAATCTGAATGAAGTCAACTGAGGGAAGCACACGAAACTGGTGCTGAACGGGCCCGGTCGATCAGGAGGATCGCTCCGGGCATCCTCGCCTACGTGAAGGCTGAGCTGGTATTGGGCTGGGCTCTGCATCCAACTTCCTGCTGGGAGTCGCGAAAGGTATAGGAACTTCACGACCAGAAGCTCTGGCTCAGGCAGAGGTCGCTGCCTTGAAGCAGGCATGCCGTTGGGCTTGGGGAGGCTTTGCGCGTCGCTTCTGCGACTGTGTCCACCCGATCGGCATGCTAGTGTTGTGCATGCACTTGCGTTGGTAGCGCTGTGCCCGGTGTCGGGTACACCTGTGTCCACGGCTGCTTGGCTTTGACTGCCTTGGTGTGTCCGTCGAAGCACAGATTTTGGCGCGGGCCCTTGGATCTGGAGCGACAAGGGGTTTTCCCGGGACTCTCGGGTTTGCAGTTCATGTCTCGGAACTTCGTCGGCGAAGCGTAATGTACGGGTGGCGGCCTTGCTAGTGCAAGCTGCACAGGGTGCAGAGGTCTCTCCGACCCTTGCAACCAACCTCCTCGCCTCCAAGGCCTGCGGCACCTGCACGGATTGTGCAGCGTGCAGAGCCTGCGGCGCTTGCGGGTGACACGAAGTGTTGGCGTTGGGAAGAAAAGGTCTTGGCGCACCCGGCAGGACATGGACTGGTGCTTTGGCGACGGGCGCTTGCTGTACAGGCAGCTCATGCTGCGGGAAGCTCACTACTCGCGGAGCCCTGCCCACGCCGGGAAACGACATTGCTATGTGTGAAACAGCATGGCTGCTTCAAAGTGGGCGCTTAATGTTCGAGCCTATGAAATTTCAGCTGCGGCACAAAAAGCAAGTCTCGAAAAGCATGCCATAGGCAGAAAGCTTCAGCCGCGTCTGAGGTATCTGTCTCAACAGTGCCGATGCGCGCCCCGAAGCTCCCGTCTACTTCTCATTCTCCTTCACGTCCGAGATCTCCTGTGCTTTTCCAGCCACCCTTCGCCGTCATCCAGCATCGGAGCTTGGCAGACTGCTGCAAGTGCCTGTGACGACGGGCGCTGCAGGCCCAGCCCACAAAACCTTCTCCCAGGCCGACAAACCCATTGGGCTGCCGCCCTTCTGCACTGCGGTCTCCGGACCGCCAAACATTTTGCACGAGCTCGCCGATGAGCTGCATGACAGCTGCGATGAGTTGCGTGACAGCGAGACCCATCTCGAGCAAAACCCGAAACATCCCGTGACGAACACCACTTCTGACAGATCTGCCGGTACCAACCGCACAGCCAACCAAGATTTACCCAGGAATTGTTTTGCGGATGCTTAAACCCTTACACGATTACCTCGCTAAGCCACTAAGTGCTGACATATCTCGCAACATCACACAATTTCTTGCTCTCCAGCATGCTGGCAATCTTCTTCAGACTTAAGAACCAAAAAACGTAACATCTGTATTCCACATAAATCGGGTTGACGTTCGTTTTAGCCGTGTCCAAGTCTGGATTTCGTGGTGAAGCATTGGTAACCTCGTCAGGTTTACACATGTTGGCGCGAGGCGTGTCAATGTTGTCACTCCGATCATCAAACAACAGTGTACAAAAGCACTCGTATACGTTGCAGTTGCCTCTCGGGGACGCAACTGGTCTGTGTGTCCAGGATTGGTCAGGCAAAGATTCCCTCCCGCCGGAAACGCCAAAACTCAGGGCCATACTGAACCTGCTTGACAGTCAGCTCCTGCAGCCGAAACGAAGCACGTGAGTGCACCGGACCATAAGTGCTTACCAAACTCATCCGCTCACACGACAGTGAACACAAGAGTCTGTCCAAATGTCGCGTCTCACTCTCTGCCAGGAGCTTCGTCCAACCTCTGCAGGATGCTGGCTGGCATCGGGCTTGTTGGGAAGATGCTGCTTTTGCTGGCACTGCTGCTCTGCACGCTTTTCTTCGGCTTCTGGCGCGCGAGTCTGTTGTGTGGAGAAGAAGAATCTATTTGCGACGAAGTGCGAGATGTTCAAAGGAACTGCTTTCTTCGGCGCACAAGATGCTCCTAAGCATCGCTCTCGCCATAGTCATAGACGGCATCAGAACCCGGGATGAAGTCCAAGGTCACCGTGGCTTCCACAGGCGAGTAGGGGGGCAAGGCCGGCCGACCTGGAGCGGATGGAAGACCTTTGTCCCCGAAAGCCAGATTTCCGGGAATCCGCATCTTTCGAACGCCTCCTGTCTTCATGCCGCGGATGCCCTCATCCATGCCCGGGAGCAGCTGTCCTACTCCGAACCTGAAATCCCTTGCTTTGCCCTTCGTGTCTTCGACAATGATTTCCCTCTCACGAATGAATGCCTTGATTTGGTACTGTATACCAATTTGGTCACCGATCTGGGGCGATGCCCCAGTGCCAGTCTTCACATCTTCCCACTCCACTCCGCCGGTGTGAACGTCATCGTCATCACCTGCAGGAGTAGTCTTCCAGGCCGTGGTCACCCCTGACTCCGCATGGCTTGGACCTGCGAAGCCTCCCGCTCCCATTGCCAGAACCGGCAAGAAGCGAAGAGCCTCGGCCCGAGAAATGTCGCCATCCTTCGGTACCAGGAAAGCCTGCCGATGTCAACAAAAAGGCTGAGCAAGCTGACGTGGTCAACAACTGCTAGGACCAGAACAGGATTTCCTGGAAGCTGATAGCTGCCAAGACCTACAACATAGAGACTTAGAATACACATGCTCAGCATTCTTCAGGCGTATCCCGGCACTTCTCCAAAGCTAATCCTGCTGGGCACCGGCTTGTGGGTTCTGCATGCACGCAAAAGGCCTACGGACCGGTTGCCGCCAGAACAAAACTTTGGGCTTTTTATTGCCGCCCTGGTTTCGCAGTTCTTAAACTCACAGCTCCCGACGGGTAACGTGTTCAAACAGAAGCTGGTATAAGGGCAGCTGCTATCTTTGTGCAAAGCACGCCTGAGCTTATGGATCAGGATTTCTTGCACGCCTAAGCCTTGGCCGGCGAAAAACCCAAACCGCAATTAGCTGCAACTTCAGTTTTCGACTTTGGGCATGGGCATCTGAGCGCCCGCAGCCTGAATAACGATTCAAAAGCGTCAAACAGCCAAAGCTTCTGCCTCTGCTTCTCACAACAACTGCGGCCTGCACTCGGAATACAGGCGCAACCGTTCAGAGATATGACAAAATTCAGGCTTCTTCCTTCTGCTCTGCTTTGAAGCATTTCCAAGCCTAACCGGTCAAGCCACTGAACGACCTGTACCCGTTTACCAGGTCCTTCCGCCACCATGATTGGATGAAGTCAGTCATGCATTCAGTCCCAAATCTTCGCTCCACTTATCCATTCTGGTATGCCGCATGGCAGGGCCCAATTTGTTCATTATTCATGTGCCAAACATTTTCCGCTTATCCCATTCCCCCAACTCCATGGAACCGAAACACGGCGCGGATTCATGGAAAAAACAATGCAAACAGAGCAATTTGTGATCCCATCTTGGTGGTCGTCTTTGGAGAATAGCAAGAGCACGATTGGAGAAGGATCCGACGACAGCAAGAGATTGTACAAAGACCAAGGTCTTCGAGTCTCAATTCTGGCGATAGGTTTACGGGAAGTCGATATGGATTCACACTGTAACTCAGGATCGAACTGCATCAGCTTGACCACAAGATTCGATGATTCGCCCTGTGAAAATTATGCTGCAGGGGCTAAGGCTGGAAGTTTCCTTTGTTTGCTCCTCTTCCAAAAGACTTTGAAATCATGACCTCTGTCTCGCGTTTTTTGCCAGCGCTTCGAAGGACAACCTCAGCGACACGTTCTCGAAGAGTTACAGAGGATGCATGTCCATCTCGTTCCGAACCCGGCTGCGGCAGTCATGTACACTAGACAAGCCTGCGCCACGGAAAAGGCAAAGACGCTGCAGGCAAGCTACGACGAGCTTACCCTAAAGGTGCGTAGGCGCACAACATGTGCTTAGGTTTCCTGCCTGAATCAAAGAAGCGGTACGTCCCAGGCCTTGTGAAGAGACACTGCCAAAAGCACAAGTAGTGCACAGCGCCCTTGTCGTCGGGCTGGAAGCATGCTTTCAAAGGCTGGCCGAGGAAAGTGGCAAGATTCGATGCCTCTGTGATGCTCTCTTGGGCCAAAAGCCAACGACGCATCTGCCCCAAAGCCACTGCTCTGAATGAAACTGCGAAACCCTCAGCACCAGCGTAATTATGCTGGGCTGCACTGATTCAAAGGCGCGACACATCAGCTTGCTTCAGCAACATGGTCTCATGCTAAGTAGACGGCTTGATTGCAGCATGCTGCGCGCATCCTGCTCCTGCAGGGGACAGCGAACGGAATCCAAAGCACAGCGAACCAGTTTATGCAGCCGTGCCTCTTTGTCAAGAATGTTTGGAAGGTATGAATCCAGCATGGCCTCCAAATCGAAGCAGCGTTGCATTGCGTTGCATGTTGACCGCTTGCCAAGCATAGACGGGGCCAAGGCATACATCTGGGCCACCGGCTCCAGCTCCTTGTCGAGCGAAAACATGGACGATCCAGGAACCCCGAACAGGCACCGTGGACTTAGACCCACATACAAAGGATACATACAGTTACATACATGCACACACACACACTACGTACATCCATGATATTCATGCCTGCAGGCATGCAAACTTGATCCCACTCGAATGAGCGAATACGTGCGTGTCGGCACAATATGTATCTCATCGTGACGATGCTCACTTTGTGATTGCGTGCCCACAACAGCGCCCCTGTATGTTCCAACTCGCTTGACTTCATGACAGCGGTGATCCAAATCAAATTTGTGTGGCAACAGGCAAAATCTGCCATGCTCTGGAGAGCTGCATGCATCGTGTGCTCAACTTGCCGTTCCACGTCTGTCGCCATGCCCTTGCTCGTGGTACACATGCGATGTGCAGCGCAACACAAACACCCTTCGGATCCCTGCTGCTACTTGCAACACGAAGCATGCGCATCATTCAAGCGCAGGCACACAGCCTGCGACGACGACAAATATGCTGGCAAGCCGCTAACTCGATTTCGCCTTGCTTTTCTCTCACCTGCAGCAAACAGCACGATGAGGATCACAAGGAAGCACTATGGCCACTGCACCCACTTGCACCCAGCAATGCCTCTCGCAGAGTTCGCATGACGTGGCCCAACGCATCAATGTCACCGTCTGCCACCTGTACCCAAGCTACCTTCTGTGAACTCTTCACATGGCCGGAAACATTAAGTTCTTACACCGGATTGCTGCAGGCTCTTCTCAGTGTGTGGTCGCTGCTGACGCAAAAATGGAGTAATATTGCGCGCTGATGTGGCGACTATCTGTAGAACGACTCTTCCTACGTAAGTTTGTCGCAGAATTCGGCGTGCTCTGAGTGGCACCTCTCGGCTCAGCTTCTTCATCGTGGACTTGATGACTTCGCTGAGGGCCTCCAACCGGTGGAATGCCTGGCTGGATAATCAGGACACTTGACATGGCAGTTGTTCAGCACGCCCTTCTTTAGCTAGCGACTGGCCACCTGCGTGTGCAGCTCACGAGCGAAGGATTCCTGATTCTTGCATGCACTCGCAACATCTCGCAACTAAAGGCACCTGGCCAATTGGTTTCAGTACTTTGTTTCGGGGATGCCGGCTCAACTACAGTAGCGCGAGCGATCACTCACAATCCGACATGGTCTCCTTCCAGCGTCCAGCCAGCTCTCGCAGGCTCCGTGCAAGGCTGCCGGCCTGAAGGGAGAGCGCCTGAGCGTTGGTGGTCGAAACCAGTGCAGATAAAGTAGAGATCACCGCCTGGCTGAGTTTGCTGCAGAGATTTGCCTGCGAGGCTCCATGAGTTGAAACTCATCGTCCAGACCTTTCTTGCAAGAACCCCTGCAAGTCCCTTCACCGCTCCGGTCATGGCAGACTCTTTTTTGGTAGGGCCACGACGAGCAAAAGAGCGCAGCTTGGCCTGCGAAACAACGACCCGCAAACCTTCTACCGATTCGTGCAACCGCAGATTTCTGAATTCGAGCTAAACAGTCTCATCTCAACACCACAAGGAAACGTATGTCCTCAAACTCATCCAACGTCGGCTCGGATGCGCGAAACTTCTTGTACCTTGAAGAATACGTTCGCAAAGCAACGATCGGCACTTGGCTGAAATGGTGGGACTATGTGGGAATTAAATGCAGGCTACAGGTCACTCTTCGTCAATGTCGCAGTTCCAAAGCCAGCTCCAGCGCTCAAACTGCTTAAGGTACTTGTTCTTGCCATCTCGAGCCTCTCATGTCTGAGCATGTCTGAAACACGAAAAACTGCACCACCAAGGCGCGTCTCTCAGGCAACCACACTTTGTATGCTGCCAGTGAGAAGTAAAACCACCTGCCGAAATTGCAAATCGCTGTCGCAAACTGAGATGGGAATCGGCCTTCAATATCTCTTTGTCCTGCGCCACTCTGTCGTAGAAGGTTCCCTGCGCCCTGTGCTGGTGCAAGAGCGATTTGTCAAGCAGTCCGATAAGGCATGCCAGCAAAGGCAAAGGGACCCGAACCCTGTGCCACTGACTGGTGGAAGGTTCGGATTGAGCAGCAGTTGCACCTTAACTCAAGAGCTCTCTCTTAGGGTCTTCCACTCAGGAAGCCGAAATGTGCTGCCCGGGTGAGATGACCAAAAGCTTTGTTGAACAGCGAGGCGTTTAAACTTGTTTAAACAGAAAGTTGAAGGATGAGTGGCCCATTTTCTCGAGCGGCACGAAGCGAGCAGTTGGACACCTGCATTGAAGCATCCCTGGCTGGCAGCCCTGGGCTGCGCGCGGTACTTGGGATTGTCACGGTATCCCAGGCCTCGTGCATCGGATTCCGTCCAACACGCATGTCTCACGAGCACGATGTGCGAGCACGTGACGTGCTTCACAAGTGCTGCATGACTGGATGTCTGCCTCGATCATCTTGGAGCACTTCAGCAAAGCCTTTGGTGGCATTCGTGTAAGTGGCAATCTTGACACGGAAGCGCATTACTAGAGCAAAAAACCTCGTGACATGCGAAGACATCAAAACTCGGCGAACCGCTGCTTTCCTTGCTCTCGTTTGGGCCTCCCCGCGTGACCCGCTCCCTTTTTCGATCTTCTTGTTTCTTCAGGAGCGGTATGAGCCCATGCACACAAACACACAAATGCCGGGGCAACCACGGGGAACAACACCTGTCTGGGATGACGATGCTTCTCACTACCAGTTCCTAGCCAAGAGTGTGTATCAAGCCACTTGAAGCAAGTTTTCGCAGACGGCACACTTTAGATAACCATCAGCAACGCCATGTTTCAATGTTGAACCTATATCCCCGCCGGGCCCTCATTACGAGAGCTTCCGGCACCCCAGGTGCCGCCAACAGCGTTCTGCACCCAATCCGCTGAACCGTTTAACGGCAGGGCTCTGTCTGCGCACCTTCTCTACTGGGTTTGTGACCCGGCTTGGGCTAAAGGAAGTGCACCAGTCACGTTCCAGGCCCAACTCGCTCAGGTATCTGCGGGGCTGGCTTCACAAATGTTGACAAACAGCAAACCAGAATAAATCGAAAACACAATCAACTTGACACCCATCGCTAGTATATGCTAGTACTGTACCCAGTGAATCTGGTGGTTCGACTGTAGCATTGCAGGACAAACCTGCAATTGCTGTGGCCCCAGCCACAGCACCGCCATTGATGGCACTCTGAATGTCTTCCATGGAGGGCTGCAGGCATACCTCGGTAGGTGAAAGCTGGTGCCAACGTGCCAGCGATGTCGCCCAGGCACTGGCCCCGAGTCCATCCAACTGCAGCTCCACTTCAAAGAACGCCGGCCTAGCCAGGCCAGGCTCCCAGGACACAGAGAAACACGGCTGAAACACGTGGAGTCAGTATGAGTCAGTATGAGTGAAGGGCGGGGTGGAACCATCTTCCAACGGGCGAGCGGAGAGTCGCTCCTTCACCTGCAGTTTTGCATAGACTGCGCATAGATCTGCGGTTTCGTTTGCCAAAACGGCCCAGCGACCTTGTGCAGCGAGCGTTTCGTTGCTGCCAGGAGGGACTGGTACATGCTCCAGTTGTAGTGCGCCTTGACCTGATGTCTCGATCCGTGGACTTGCTCGTGCAGTCAGTCAAGCCCAGGCCTTGATGATCTCACTCTCGGAGATACGACGCACGTGCGCGTCCAGGGGAAACCTTTGCTTTCGGATTTGCCAACGGCCCTAGATCTGTAGAGCCGCACCCTCGCTCTGCCGACACACACAGACACAGACAGAAAGGCACATAAACAGTAACGCCCTGACCCCCCGCGAGCAGTGCTTTTACCCACGGGGACGCCAAGGAGTCAGAGGGCCGCAAGAGTTCCTCTGAGAGGCAAGACCGGTGCCGCACGCAAGCCCTTGCAGGTGGCTGTGGCAAGTCCGGGAACCGCAAACTGCAAAGGCTGAGAAGATCTTGGAAGAGCACGCACAGAAGGTGCACATCGAGATACGAAGCACCACAATCCAAGCTGGGTGATGGCCCTAGTACCGCTTGAGAGTCAGGCGCAACTATCGTACCCAGCATGTCGTTGACCTTTGCTGCACAGGATTGACGGACGAAAGAAACAGTGGAAAAGGCGATTGCTCTAACAAGCTCCTGCTCATGATGAATTTTGGAATCGAGTGCCTGGGGCTACCACAGCATTCTCAATCTCTTGGTTTTTCGCCACCAGCCACTCCCTCAGCTCTTGCTTCCACCGTAGCACCAACCAAGGCTCTCAGCACTGCGGAAGTTCTGTCTCGGCGCCACACGTCGTGTGTCGAACATGCCTTTCTTGAATGTCGACCTCGTTTGAGCGCTGTGCCACTATGCTAGCATGCTACAGCTGCTCATGTCGCAACGATCATGTGGAAGCACAAGCAGGGTTGCCAGCTCGTGCTCGGAGTGTCCCGAGAAACCGGGAAGCTAGTTTCGGACGAAGCATTGGTTAATGTCGCGCTTCAGATCCATGCTATATCTTTTTAGTTTTAGAGGATCGGAGTTGGGGGCGAGACCTTTTCCGAAGGTCATGCCATCTCTTTTGGGAGCGCCGAAGCCAGCAACGTCTCCAAGCGCAAGCTATGTACAAGGCCGTAAGCAATGCCATGCTAGCTTCACTCATTGAAGCCTGGGTCAGGAGCCGCAGCCGCCGCGGCCGGCTCAATGACACCAGCTCTGGCGAGGCGGCACCACTCGGAGGGAATGTTGACAATGCCTGTCGAATACCCTTATGAGCATGTTGCTGTTGTCATCATTGAAGCACCCGTGCAGCACTCTGATGTTGGCAAGGCTCAAACCCAAGCTCTTTGTTGGCTTCAGCCGGGGTGTGGCTGTACCTGAATCCGCAGGTAAGCGCGCGCACACACACAGACACGAAGAAGCGAACGCAACCGAAGGCAACTGTGCCCGAGCGAGCCACGTTGACCGCCTGTGGCTTGCCCTGTGGGTTCAGCCCGACCTGAGGGTTCAGGCCGCAGGCCGCAGCAGGGCAAGATGCGCGCTGCCGAGACGTAAAGATGTTCGTTCGTTCCTTCCTTGCGTTCCCTTTTTGTTCTCGCCATTCCCGCCTCGAAGGTGACCATTTGACCCACGTTCAAGTTCTTGGGCGTGACCTCTCTGCCGTGAAGGAACACATCGCAGCCATACCTTGGATGTTTCTTGGCCCGTGGGTTTTCGCCTTTGATTTGCACCTTGGCAGGTCCAAGTGGCCAAGCTCGCACCTGCTCGCAGGCGATGAAGCCATAGTTGTTACCAGGATTGAAGGACTTGATATGTCCAATGCAAACTTCGCCGGTGCCTTGGATCCGCTCTGTTCTGAAGTCCATCCATCAGCCTTCCACAAATGCCATCATCTGCATAAAGAAGCGCTCAGTGTCTTCTTGACAGGTGGCCAAGAGGTTTTGTCGCTGTCTTGGCTCCGAAGCAAATTAGAAATACATGTGAGGTTTGCAACTCTGGACAAGCTATCCACTCTGCCCGCATCCACCAAGCGTCTTTGGGCTGCTGCGGCTCCAGCATAACTTGTGCAGTGAGGTCACCCGGGGTAGGCTCCCATAGTTCGTCACAAGGGGCGGCATCGGATACCTGAACGAACAGACTCGTCTTTCCTTCTGCTGTCCACAAAATCTCTTTGGTTGTTATACGGTTCTTGACGATTGCAGTAGTTGACGTGATCCCGGGTCGGGAGAAGTTAGGGCAAAAATACAGCTTGCTTCCGTATCAACTCTTGTAAGACGGGATAGATATTAATGTATCGACAAGCTTGCGGGAACACTCGGCCTGTGGAATTTCGGGGCGACCTATGTCGCTTTCATACTCCAGCCTGCGAATGTCGGGGAATTTGCAGCCCGACGCTTAAAAACAAACCCAGGTCGAAACAGAAACTAATAATGAACACGCCAAATAGGGATGTGAAAAAAAATGTGATGGTTTCCGCATGCTTTCTGGCGTCTCCTGCTAGTCTGTGTTGCAGCTTGCACCTTGGGTTCTGTTACCAGTGCCTCGTCTGCTTATTCCCACCTGGATGCAGTGAACGGTTTCTGTTACCACCTTCCTGGACGTGTTTAAGGTCGTTTCCTGTATGAAGGCATGGTCCCTGGTCTTGGAGATGCCCCGTTCTGATAAACCACCCCATGCATACCTCAATATGTCAATATGCATGTACATATGTGTATATACTTATATATGCATACATATATACATACATACATACATACATACATACATACATACATACAGACAGACAGACAGACAGACAGACAGACAGACAGACAGACAGACAGAGACAGACACAGAGAGAGACACTGACATTCAACAATGCTCCGGTGTGCGCAAAGCTTCTCTACCGTTTTTGCATGCACCGGGGCCTGCCGGAAGCATGTTCAATCAGGGTAGCACATGGGCTGCTGATGCGCTAATGGGCACTGATTCAAAACAACTGGATCTGGTAGTGATCTTTTTTTGGCAGTTCGACAGCCATGGGATATCACACTTCAAACTTACAGGAAGCAGAATTCACAACAGCACCAGCATGCGAATGTTACTGCGAACTTCTTGATCAAGCTGCGATTGTTGTCGTCTCGCTTAGCACGCATCCCTCAGACTGCTGTTGAGCTGCATTCGGCTTCCCTTCACGATTCAGCACTGCATTGAAAGATACGGTCGACCCAGCCACAAGCGTCGATGCTATTTCCTTGCCCACGTATACCTTGGATCGTTCCACAAGGGACCAAACGATCAGCTCTTCACAGCAGGGTCTCCCACACACCTGGATCTTGTCTTGGCAATTACTCAGTTCGTCCTCCCGCCTAGCGGGGTTCGCCTGTGGCGTAGAAAACTGGTCTGAATTGAACTTTCCCGTTTCTTCATCAGCAGGACTCTCCCCGGGCCATATTTCTCCTAGAGATTCCTTGGCGCACCCGAGAAAAGCATTTCTTAACACTCTGCCAGATACATCTCGGTCCAGAAAGGTCTTGACTTCTGCACATTCGACGAAGCAGTGTCCATTTGGGGTTGTCTTGAAAACGCCTTTCCTGAGCTCAAACCACTCGATCACCCATGCCAGGATCCGATTGCAAACGAGAGTCAAGGCGAAGCCGGGTGTGCCTTAGCTGAGGTCTAAGATGCTGTGACAGCCGTCCTGCCATGCAGCCGCAGCCCGGACCCTCTGCCGCTGAATAGAAACGGCTTCGCTGAAAAACTCACTATCTGAGCATCCCGGATGTCGACGGTCCAAGGCGCTACATTTCAATCGCAGCAGGTTGGCAGCTTGAGGCTTCTGATCGTCTGACATGGAGAGGCCAAAGGCAACAAGGTCTCCTGACGGAAAGCAAGAGACCCACACTCGGGCATAGCACTGCTCCTGCTGTTCGGAATCCAGAGCAGTCCTGGTCCAGCCAGGCTTTGAGCGAGGACTTGCAGCGTCACGAACACATCATGCCTCAGCTGGTGTTTTTTAACCAATAACAAACCTTTACAACTGCGCCAAGGAGCCCGAAACGGTCTCTGACCGGCTTGCAATCCTGAGGCTGCTTTGGTCTCAACATCTGAATGTTCCGACATTATTCCCTGTACAGATGATACACTGCTACAGGTGTGTGCTGACACGCAGCCACGTGAATGCCTGGAAGTCTGCCTGTCGGCACCCATTTTCTCAAGCAGACCCATGCAGACCTGTACATCTGAAGTCTTTCAGAGATGTAGAGCTTTGATTTGAGAATATGCCAGTATATCAGCATATTATGGACCCCTATATGGCTGAATCAAACTCAGCCGACTCAAACCCCAATGCCCGCGCATCAAAGGTAGGCAAAAAGAGAGGGTCTAGGGCGAAGCCTCTCCTTGCATGCTACCAGGAGAGACGCATAGTCGATTGTGTAGCAACAGAGACAGGGGCCTGATCAATTCATCCATCGGTGGGTGGATGCGTAGATGAAAAGTTAGACTTACAGCGGCAGTCAGTAGATAGACTATCACCGGGACAGATGGACGGGCAAAGCGGACGTTGTGAAAAAATCGGGCGTGAGCCTGGGACGATTCCACTTCGGGGAATGCCGGACCCTGCAAGTCTAGAAACTGCAAACAAGTCGCGATGAAGCCACATTCGCTCTCCTGGGCTCTTGTTGACTGTAACTGCTTCCCCTGTGCGGAGCAAGGCCACCCGGGGCCTGCGGGATGGAAACATGCAAACGGCAAGGACGCAAGGAGACTTTGTGTCACCACAGCAGGGGGCTCTTCAGGCAGGATTCCGGAAAAACGCTGATCACGGTCCCCGAGAATACCATCAGAGCCTGATAGCATTGACGGGGCAAACTGGGTAGTGCTCAAAGAATTGGCCTCTCGATTCTTGACCGTCCTAGCGGCCCTAGCAGATCGTAGTCGCATCTGCATACGATGCAGCAATGCTAGTGGCGGCATGAAACCGGCGCTGGCGTCAATGACAAAACCCAGGCAGCACTTTGTTTACACCGTGAAAAAGCTCTTTTCACTCTCTTTCCTGCCTAGAATCTTTTTTAGGCCTTGGGGTGTAAAGTTTAGGAACTAACGAACCCTTAACGGAAGTAAAAAAACAAGTTGACAGGCCACAACGGCGACACACAGTGAGCGTTTAAGGCTGGCCGCTGGGTTAGGAGGGTTTTATCTGAACATCTCGGGTCCGAGGAATCTTGATCCAGGCTGCAAAGGGGCCACTTGAAGCCCTGTCCAGTGAGGAGAAGGATTTGATTTGTGTCATGGATACGTGTCGGAGGAAACCCATGAGAAGGAGAGAAGGATTTATTGACCGTTCACATTGTGGAGGGGCAGAAAAACCCTGGACAGGGCAGAAGGCTTTTCTTGGACTCTGTCCCCGCATGCTCAAGCAGCACAGGCTACCCAGGCACAGAAAGAGCCTTTACGACAGTACCCAAAAAAGCCCACAAGGTCCGAAAAAAAACCAGCCCGACAACACCCCCTAGAAAGTGCACATAGAAAAACTGTTCACCCGCACAACAGCTGCGCGGTGCGCCTGCCCTGGAGCTGCTGGACTCGTGCGCCTGCCTGCGCGTGCTGGGCGGTTCAACGCCTTACTGCACCCGTGCTACAGTTTTTGCTTGCTTGCACGCTTGTGCGGACCGCGGACGAGAGTTCCGGGGTTCGTTCTGTCGAAACAAGAAGAGGTACTTGTACAGTGTGCCGGGAATCTAGAACAATTATTTGAGCAAGATTGCTAAGCATGCAATCTTGCCCCACTTGGGGGGGAATGGTGGTAGAAATGGTAATCTAGTCGGCGGGCAAGTGGGGCAAGATGACCTAGATGACCAAGATCGC